CTGACCTCCTGCTAGTTTGAATCTCAAATGTCCCCCAAAACCCCAGGTGTTGATGGCTTGGTCACCAGCTGAGGATGCTCTGGGAAGGTGGTGGTATGTTTAAGAAGTAGGCCTTGGGGGCTGGGGGTTTAGCTCAGCGGCATAAGCACCTGCCTTGCAAGCAAGCTGTCATGAGTTTGATCCCCGGTACCGATAAAAATGAAAAAGACAAAAAAAAAAAAAAAAAAAAAGAAGTAGGCTTAGCCAGAAAGAAGGAAGCTTGAGGCACTTCTAATTAAATGATGCACCTTGAGACCATACTCTTTAAGAGAAATAAATTGCACATAAAATGTTTAAATACTGCATTGTTTCTCTGGGAAGAGAACTGAAAGTATAAATAAAGGCCAAAATGTATGATATTAGGAAATGGGAAGAAAATGTTCAAAGAGAAACAAAGGTGGGGAGGGGAGAAAGGAAAAGATAAAAAGAGAATAGAAGTATAAAAAATGGAAACAAAACTTTTATAAATAAGAAGAAAAAGGGTTCAAGGCAGGGGATGGTAATGAGAATAAAAGCAGCAAGATATATTATGTACAGATACAATGTCATCATTATATATACCTAAAATGTATCAACAAAGTTTTTTCAAATGCAAAAAAAAAAAAAAAAGAGAGAGTGAGAAAGAAAGAAAGAAAGAGGTCTAATGGGAGGAAGTCAGATGATCAGGGGCATGCTTTTGAAGGGCATATTGGGACTTGAAACCCTGGCCAGTTCCTGTTTTTATTTTTATTTCTTGGCTGCCATGAGATAAACAGATCCTCTGTTGCATGCTTCTGCCATGATATAGTGCCTCCTGCAGGCCCAAAAGCAAATGGGGGAACCAAGTGTGGAGTGCAACCTCTAAAACTGTAAGCCAAAATAGACCTTCCCTCTTTACAAGCTGATTATCTTGGCTATTGCGTCACGGTAATGGAAAGGTGACCAGCACATTGCCAGTGATGGGTATCAGTGGGTAATGCTCAGGAAGACACCTCATTTTTCCCAAGACATCTTAGGGCGTGGTGCTAATACCCCACTTCCATCTTACCATGGGGATGCGCAGAGCATGCAGGTAGAAGGAGTGGATCTCCCAATAGCAGCAAATGTTATAGATGAACTTGATAAGCCGGTGGATCCAGAAGACACCAGCAATGACCAGGATGGTGATAAGGGAGCCATTTTCCTGAATCCTGGTGAGGGGCAAAGGAGATGGGGGGTGGCCCTTTATTAAGGAAGGGCTCTTTAAGACATGCTGCTATTCCAAAGGATTCCTCTAGCTTAAGCCTAAGTCTGTGTTCTGGGGCATGAGTTCCTGCCTCATGCTCCCTTGCTCACCTGTCAGCAAAACTAGACTCCAGTGCCCTGTGACCTACAGCCTTACCTGGCACTACAGACTTGGGCAGGCAAGAAGGCGTCTGGCAGAGTGACCTTGACAGGTTCAGTAGGATGTAGACTGTGGTTCACCATCTTGTTGGCAAATAGGATGTCGTAGTCCACACAGCTAACCAGGAAGGTGGTGAAGGCAACCACAAAAAGGAACTGCCTAGGGAGTTGGGAAGAAGGAGTACAGCCCAAGACTCAGAGAGGCATCAATGAAATAAAGTGGGACAACAGAAGAACCTAGAAACAGCCAAACAGAATGGGAAATCGAAGGGGGTGGAGCAATCCCAAAAGGCCTTCTCTGGGATTGTTTAGTCCCAAAGAACCTTTTCCAGCCCATATCAGTCCCTAGTTTTTGCTCTTAGCCTCAGACACCTTGGTATCAGCTGGTTTTCATCACTTCATGGGAATCTGCCACTCCCACCACCACCACTGGATTTAACTTTTAGAGGTTTCATGATTGTGGTCTCTGGTCTCTCCTTTCTGATCCCTTTTTTTTTTTTTTATTTGCCTAGCAGGCACTTACACTGCTGAGCTAAACCCCTGGCCTCTGATCCTCTTGAGATTGTAGTCAGAAGCCCTTTCAGATAGGAACTCTTTTCTCATTAAGGAAGGGCTTCCCAACTCTTTCCCCTTTGGCAACACCATAAAATTTCTCCCAACTAGAAGGCTGCCAGCAACAGGCAGGCGTAAGATACAACCAAAGCAGCATAGAGGCTCTTTCTTCAAATAAAGGGCTACCATATCTGAGCACCTAGCTAGACCACACACATCCTGCTGAAGTTCTAACAAAATGTTCAGCACATATGTAAGTTCTCTTGGAAGAGAGAGGACTTGGAAAGCTGTTCTGTAAAAGGGGAGGCTGTACGTTTTGGTGCTACACAGGGTCCAGAACTATAGAGGTTTTGCAGTTTTGAGCCTGGGTCTGAGTAATAAGGCCAGTGGAACCAGATATTGGCAGGAGGAGTAGAAAGACTGAGATGCATTCCTTCACCACATCATCTGTCTCTTCCCTTTCACATACTTACATGAGCTCAAAGATCTCCCCAATGAGCATACACGTGAAGCCATTCTTCTGGTGTAGGTTATAAACGTATACATGTTAAGAAAAAATGATTCGTAAAAAGCAATTGAGAACACAGACGTTGATGTCACACACCCGAGCTTAGGTGCTAGCTCTGTGACTCTCTAGAATAGGATTTTAAGCAAGTTACTTAACCTCTCTTAAGTTTTTGTCAATAGTGGTAAATTAGAGATAGTAATACCTGTTTTATTATAGGATTACTAGGTCCAAGAAAATCCATGAAGAGTATCTGACACAGAACTGACAAAGAACGAGTCAAAAGACATTAATTAGTACCATGATTAAAATCCCATCAGAAAGGAGGATCACTCTTAGAAAGGCAGCATATAAATCAACACCACAAAAGGCATACAGGGCCTGTATGCCTTTTGTGGTGTAAGTGTGGGGTATCATTATTTTTAATGATCACTATTTCATTCTCTTTCAGCCTCAGGATGTCATTTCCCCTTACAGGGATGAGAATTCAACCTACCCACACTTTCCCTCAGGGACCTGACTCAGCGAGGGGCTAAGGGTCCCAGAGTACCATCACAGGGACATAAAGGATATTCGGGAGAAGAATAGGTCAAGGTTTTCAATATGGTGCCAAGGTGCTGTAAACAGAACAGAAATGTCAAGAGCCTGAACAGAAATGTCAGAGCCTTGCTCCCTCAATGTCCTTCCACCAACTGTCTCTGTGTCCCAGCAACTCACACTTGCTCCCCTCAGCAACGTGCACCAACAGGTCCTCCTCCCCAGGGGGTGAATCGCTATAGGAGGCCTCTAGGCGTTGATATTCGGTGTCAAACTGCGCCATCACCGCAGCCCCCAGTCCACCTGGTCCACCTGCCAGTGATGAGGAAGAAGAAATCTTGGTTCAGAATCAGATGCTGTTTACCTGCTGCTCTTCCTACTAGAGCAGAGGTGAGAACAAATCCTTGGGCTTTGGCTTTACCACTAGTTTCCTTGGCCCAAAGGCAGAGCAGGAGTTACTGGCCAAGGAGAGTAGTAAGCCTCGGGGTCAGGAGACCCTTGATTCCGGTCAGTCATTCCCAGAGCCTTTATCGGGTGAGTGCTAATGCCTCCCTAGCCTGCAGCCAGAATCTGCCCCTTTGGGGGGGTGGTGAGCTTTTTTGTGTCTTCTATTCAATGGAAGGAAACTACCCCCCTTCCCCTCCTGGAAACCCTGGTCTCCCCAGAGACTAGCAGTTTGAAAGTATTTTGTAAACAAAGGTTTAAGACAAGCACATGGCCCTACCAGCTCCATGGACAGTGTCTGCTCCACTCCAGCCCTCGATGCCCTGGCTTGACAGCTGCTGGAGGAGAAGGTGTCAGGCCCCAGAGAGCCATGAGTGGGGACAGAACCCCAACCCTCCCGCCCACCCAAATACCAGGAGCAGGAGGGCAGGAAGGCTACAGTGAAGAAGAGGCGTTCTCCAGCCTAGGACTGTGAGACCCCTCCTCTGGCTATACTACACAGGGCCAGCTATCCACATCTAGGATACCAGGAGGTAACTTAGTGCCCCTGTGGAGCCTGAGTCAGTACAGGCTGGAGACTGGGTGGCCCTCTGGACTGTCTTCATTGCCCCACTCCAGTTTCAGAAATCAGACATGCCTCTTAGGGTCCACAAAACCCCAAAGAGTATTTTTTGAAGAGGGTCCACCTCTTCCACTGTTCTTGTCTTTCCTTTTTTTTTTTTTTTAAAACCAAAGACCCAACAGAAACGATCTGCATAGGAAATTCCAAATCTGTGTAGCTCCAGATACTGAGTGACTCTGTGGGTTGCCTCGATCGCTAGAGCCAGACAGGGTCAAGGTGGTACTCACTCAGACACTGCAGACCCTGAGGACCCTGGTTTTGGCCTCACAGGGCCCAATTGGTATTTCCCGGGCTAGTGAGAGCCCTGTCTCTCAAGAAATCCACCACTCACCAGGTCAGGGTAGACCCCGGGCCCAGGGATCCCCGGCAGTCAGGGCCTGGTTCATGGATTCCTGCGGATGCTGGAGGTCGATTCCCGCGGTGGGCTGGGTTTGCTTTCCCACACCCAGCCACCGGGACCGAGCTCAGGGCGCCCTAGGGTCGCCCAGCCCCAAGCCGGGTAGGGTTTGGCTTCCAACAGCGGTCTACCTCGTGCGCGGTCCCGCCGCCCATGCGCGCCCCCGCCCCCGCGCGCACGCTATCAAAACATTCTGGCTGCGCGCCCCCCACCCCGCCCGAGGCGCCCTTTTCCCTGCTGCTGGCGGCCAGCTCACTTGGTCTCCGGGGACAACCTGGCTAGGTCCGGCCTGGGCCCGGGATTTCAGTACTCAAATCTCGCGTGTCACCTCACGAACCGCGACCCCTCGGATTCCAGACTCTCGGTCTCTTCGGCTCAGCTCGGCTCGGCAGGATCCCGAGCGCTAGGCCCGGCGTCTGCCACTCACTGTGACCCGCAGCTAGCCTGGCCTATGAACATGAGGGGTGGAGACACGACAGCCAATTCTCGGCCTAGAAGGTGGGACAAAAGGCTAGGGGCGGGGTTTGAACGTCAGAAGACCAATCATATACTCTGGACGGGGCGGGGCTCGGGTGCCGGCGAAGCTGTTTGTCCTCTTCGCGACCCCGTAGTGACGGGATTGTTGAGTTGCAGAAATCTGGCTTTCGAATAAAGCTTTCCTCTCCGATCCTCGGGAAGTTTGTTGCAGTTTCTGAGGGTAGGGGCGAATGTGTGATTTAGTCGTTGCCGGATCTTTATCCCTCGAGTAACGAAGGTCAGTTAGGCAACATCAGTGACCAACTCTGTGAGTCAACTCTGTGGGTCACAATTTGGATCTGGACGCTCCCCCATTACACTTTCGGGGTTTGAGTCCATTTGAGAAAATGAGGCGGGACTACCTATTTATCGCGGAGCTGACCCTAATGGCAGGTTGAAAGCCAAGGAGTCTTGTAGGTTGGGGGAAACTAAGGCAGGCAAGCAGGAGACGTGGCAGTAGGATCTCGCCCTGGTGAGTTCTAACTCCCATTCTGCTCCAGGAGCTGCTTTTGAGTAATTCCGGTTCAGACATGTCGCCGGCTCCAGCTGCCCCACCAGTTCCTGCGTCGGTCTCCCTGTTTGACCTCACTGCGGATGCTCCACTCCTTCGGGGCCTGAGCCTGGTGAGCCAGGCTCCCGAGGAGGCTATGGTCCGGCCTCTGCCTACTTCCTGTCCAGGTATCCGAGAAGATTGGGGGTGGATCCATGAGGAATAGGGTTCATTGGAGCATAACACTTTTCCGAGGAACACTCTTACTGGTATTTACAAGCTCAGGGGCCCAATTGACTTTTTTCCTGCAGGATACAGTTTTTCTAAAAATGCATTTAATCTCCGGGTAGTTTTCAGCACAGGCCCCTGAGTTGTCTCCAATATCCAAGCAAGTCTTTGGATATTGCTGTGCTTCATTACATTAACACCACGGCCTTCAAAAACACTTTACAATTCCTTGATATAGTCCAAATTTAAGTGGACTCCAGGGAAACCATTCCATAAAAGTTTATTATTGGTTTTGTAAAACTTTATTCTTTTGGGTACTGCTTTCTTACATTTCTCTTTAGATTAGTTGGAATTGTAAGCTTTTTTTTTTTTTTTTTTTTTTTTTGGTACCGGGGAGCAAACTCAGAACCTTGCGCTTGCCAGGCAGGTGCTTAAGCCATCTGAGCTAAATCCCTGGGCTTTAAAATGACATTTAGGAAGTGGTTTGTACCATTAAAATAAAGGAGTCGGGGTGTAAGTCAGTAATAAAGTGCTTACCTTTTTCTGGACTGGATCTTCAGCACTGCAAAAAATATAACAATAAAATAATGTTATAGCTTACTGCAAAAGGAGGTGAAACTCAGACACCTTTCAGGGGCCTGGAAGCAAAGCAAAGATGTTTGAAATTCTCCCAGGCCTTGTCTTCATGGGAACATTTCCACTCATCTTGGGAGTGGCTGTTGGGCAGGTGCATCTGCAAGTTCACTAATGAAGAGAAGGAAAGTTGTCCTTTGTATCACTGGAGTTTGCTGGAAAGAGAACTCTGGAATTAATTGTTAACTGTGTCAGAGGGTTTGGAGAACACTGATTAAGGAAACACTTTTCTGATTGATAAAAAAAAGGGGCTGGGGATTTAGCTCAGCGGCATAAGCGTCTGCCTTGCAAGCAGGCAGTCGTGAGTTTGATCCCCGGTACCGATAAAAAGGAAAAAGAAAAAAAAAACTCACTTATGGTCGTTTACTCTTTCTTTTTAATTTTTTTTTTGTCTTTTTTGAGATAGGGTATTGCTGTGCTGTTCAGACTGGCCTTGGGCTCACTTTGTAGCACAGGTTGGTCTTGAATTCGAAGTGATTCTCCTGCCTTAGCCTCCTGAGTGCTGGGATTACAGGCGTGTGTCACCACGCCTGGTCTATACCTTTATGATTACTGGATTGTAAATCCCTTGAAGGCAAGGTCATGCTGTCACTTTCTTCTTTGTATTAACATAATTAACATAATTCCAGGCACTGTGGATTTACCCACACTTTTTACCTCCAATTACCCTTTCTTTAGATTCAGGGAAGAAAGCAAGCCCAGAAAAAAAAGTACTCCAGGGTCCTCTGGATATTTCAGAGAAGTTATTTTGTTCAGCCTGTAACCAGAGCTTCCAGAACCACCAGGAACAGGTAAATGGCCATTATAACATCTAGGCTATCTGGGACTAGGTATTAAGAAAAGTATGATGTGAGTAGGGAGAGATAGATAATTGATTTGTCTTAAGTTATTGCTTGTCTAAAGCAGTTGCCTATGCCTCCTAAAAGCAGTTGGTGTTACCTGGTCATACTTCCTGGGGAATTCTGTGAGTGGCCTTCACTACTAGATAAGGTCAGGTGGGTACATTTTTGTCTTCTGCTTCTTTGCCTTTGTACCAGAGAGAACACTATAAGCTTGACTGGCATCGATTTAATCTGAAGCAACGTCTCAAGGACAAGCCTCTCCTATCTGCCTTGGACTTTGAAAAGCAGAGCTGCACAGGTGATCCCGCTGAGAGTAGGGTCCTGGGGTAGGAGGGATCCCTAAAAAGTTTTGAGGAGAGGTCAAAGACAGGGTACCAGATTTGTGTGTCCTATTGTCTGCAGGAGATCTGTCCAGCATCTCAGGATCAGAAGAGTCAGACTCGGCCAGTGAAGAGGATTTACCAACACTAGGCAAAGAAAGGGCTGAATGTGAGAGGCCTAACCGACCCCAAGGCTTTTTCCCCCATCGGGTTCTTTTCCAGAATGCCCAGGGCCAATTTCTTCATGCCTACCGCTGTGTCCTAGGCCCTCACCAGGCAAGTAGCAGCACAGATTGTATGGTCAACTCAGCTTGTACTTTTAGACCACATTTCTCCTTTGCCAATCCGTATGTCACTGCTTCCCTTCCTCCTTTTGGGTGTAGGTGTCACACTTGACAGCACAGTCAGGACTGAAACTGGCCTAAATCTTGAAAGTGTCAAGTCTAATGGAATTGTTTGGAAACAGACCATTCTCCATTTGAGTTGTGGTTCTGCCTCTTGATCTTGTCTTGTCTTTTTTATTTTTTGTCTTTTTCCTTTTTATCGGTACCGGGGATCGAACTCACGACTGCCTGCTTGCAAGGCAGGAGCTTATGCTGCTCGCCCCAGCTCCTTGTCTTTGTCTTTTTTGAGACGGGGTCCCGCTATGCAGTTCAGGCTGGCTTTGAGCTCACTTTGTAGCCCAGGCTGGTCTTGAACTCACAATGATCCTCCTACCTCAGCCTCCCAAGTTCTGGGATTACAGGCGTGAGCCACCACACCTGGCTCAGCTTGCTTGCTTTGTAAAATAAAAACAAGGCTCAGGATGACTGTAGTAAATGAGAGCATGTGTGAAGCACTTCCCATGGCACTCGCTTTCTTGCTCCCAATGAGTTAGCACATAGAATGTTTTTGTCTGTCATATAGGTTCCTCCAGATGACGCAAAACTGCTACTACAGAGCCTGCAAAATGGAGGTCGCAGACACTGTGTGGTGCTCATGGCTGCAGCAGGGCACTTTGCTGCTGGCATTTTTCAAGGGTAAGAGGGTGCTACATGAGGTGAGGACGGCAGGAATTCAGGAATTCTGTTAGTCCTAGAGCACCTTCTTGTCTATAATACCAAGTCTGTGCTATCTACAGAAGAGATGTGGTGACACATAAAACCTTTCACCGCTATACTGTGCGGGCCAAGCGGGGTAGCGCCCAGGGCCTTCGGGATGCCCAGGGTAGGCCATCACGCTCTGCCGGAGCCAACCTGAGGCGTTACAATGAAGCCTCGCTGTATAAGGTGAGTTGGACCTCCTAGTGTGGTGATCCTATCACTTACTCCTTGTCTACTTTTATCCTTTTATCCCTCCTTTCAACTCATTACATGTTATAATGGGGAGGTTTGGGATTCATCCTTTCAGTTTTCATTATTCCTAGGTAGACAAAGTAAAGTAGGGATGCCTAGGTCATCTTTTTCTTTTTGTATTATTCTCTGACTCTCTGCAAATGATCTGTGGGCCAACTTTTGGTTCGAGATTGTGTTTTATTTTTATTTATTTGAGGCAAGGTCTTGCTAAGTATGTAGGCCAGGCTGGCTTTAAATTTGCAGTGATCCTTCTGCCTCAGCCTCCTGAGTTCTGGGTTTATAGGTGTGTGTCACCACAGCGGCTGGTTAGATTTTTAAAATAGCAAGTAAGGACATGCCAGGTAGAGTTCTTTTCTTTTCTAGGATGTTCGTGACCTGCTGACAGGGCCAGGCTGGGCTGAAGCTTTGCAGGAGGCCAGCATAGTTCTGTTGCGTGCCCCCCGTTCTGGCCGGTCCTTGTTCTTTGGAGGCCATGGGGCACCCCTGCAAAGGGAGGATCCCCGACTTTGGGATATCCCCCTCACTACCCGCAGACCTACCTTCCGCGAGCTCCAGCGTGTGTTCCATAAGCTGACCACCCTCCATGTTTATGGTGAGCCTTGGATGCAGGTCCCAAGACTTTTTATGCCTTAGGGTACTCTGTAGCTCAAGCCTTGGTTCTCATCTATACATCCAGGGATTTTCTAGCCCTCTTAACTGAAGCTTGAGGCCTGATTATGGTTTTGGGATGGTTTCTATTGTTTTTTGTTGTCTTTTGTTTTTTGAGACAGATTCTTGCCAAGTAGTTTAGGCTGGCTTTGAACTCACTCTGTAGCCCAGGCTGGCCTCCAACTCATGGTGATCTTCCTGCCTCAGCCTCCCAAGTGGGTTTCAGTCATGCACCATCATGCCCAGCCCTGACTATGTTTTCATTGAGAGAAACTTGGGCTGACTTCTCTTCTGAGAAGTTTGAGAAAGATCTTTTGTTTTATGGCAGAAAACTCTCCGGAAACAGTCAGATTGCACTCACCCCAGACACACTGGAAGACAATGAGAAAGGAGAGGCAGAAGCCTACTGAGGAAGAAAGAAAAAGGGTCTCGAGCAGTGAAAATGAGGAGCTTGGACGGAATGGCAAATCATCTAAACAGGGTTTGAGCATTATCTGGCAACTGTCAGATCTGTCTGGGTGTCTGTCCTAGAAATGCTGTGACACATGTCCTCTTATCATAACTTATCCCAAATGATAGGTGGGCTCATACCATACACACATTCACACATCCTCCAGTGTCTCCTTGTAAATGGGGTATCTCAGAGCAATTACCGGGATGTGTTTAGTGACTTTTCCAATCTGTTATTCTCTTATTTATGGATATATCCCCATGCTTAGAAAAGTCCTAGCATGGAGTAGATGCTTCAAAGTATGGGCATGTGTGGTGGTGTACTCTTGTAATCCCAGCACTTGGAAGGCTGAGGCAGGAGGATCACTGCAAGTTTGAGACCAGCCTAGCCTACGTAGTGAGTACAAGGCCAGCCTGAACTATAGAGCAAGATTCTGTCTCAGTAAAACAAAAAAAAGGGCCAAGGATATAGCTCAGCAGTATAAGCACCTGCCTGGCAAGCATAAGGTCGAGTTCAATTCCTGATACCAAAAAAAAAAAAAAAAAAAAAAAAGAGTGGCACAAGTCCTACACTATTAGATGCTGTGGTCAGGAGGTAGGTCTGCTTCCATGTTTTCCTCTACTGTGCACATCCTAAGGCTGCTCATAGGGAAAATCCAAAGACAAAATAAAAACAATTTCATTTCCAAATGAAATATGAAATACCTCTTCATAGACATGCTCAATTAGCCCACATCCCTTCCACGGTCTGCTTATGTCTTAGACGGATCTATCATGGCAGATTTCTCTCTAGGTTCAGGTTCAGAAGATGAGGATGGATCCCAGGTAGAGTTGGAATTGGTGGAGCTGACCCTGGGGACCCTGGATTTTCGTGAATTTGAGGTATTGCCCAAGAGGAGGAAGAGAAAAAGGAATAAGAAGGAGAAAACACAAGACCATGATGTGGGTGCACATATGACTGTTAACCAGCAACCCCAAGAGGATGAGCCTGTTTCATCTGCTCAGTCAGCCCAGGTGGTTGCAGCCCCCTTGGGGTCTTCAGTGGAGGTATCAGAGGCCCCTGGTGAGCTAGAACTCTGGGATATACTTCTAGCTGCTTGCCGAGCTGGAGACATTGGACAGCTGAAGCTCCAGCTGAGTGCTGGAGTTGCAGACACTGAACTTATGTCTCTACTCAGTGCCCCCATGGGCTCTGGTGGCTTTACCCTTCTGCATGCAGCAGCTGCAGCTGGAAGAGGTGCAGTGGTTCGGCTGTTGCTGGAAGCAGGAGCTGACCCCACCGTGCAGTAAGTAAGGGTCCCCCTGCTGGGACACTCTGGGTATGGAGAGGATAATTTGTGGTCCTGGCCACTTACTGTTTACCTTTTGTCTGACTGGGTGACATTGGGCAAGGTAGGAGGCAAACTGAACCCATTTTTGAGTTTTTGTACCTAGGGACTCCCGAGCCCGGCCACCTTACACTGTTGCAGCTGACAAATCAACACGAAATGAGTTCCGAAGGTTCATGGGAAAGAATCCAGATGCCTACGATTATGACAAGGCTCAGGTCCGCTGGAAAAGGAAAAAGAGGCAGAGCGGGAAGGCACTGTAGATTCTGGCTAGATACTTCTTTACCTGTAGTCTTACCAGAGTGAATGTGTGTGGATCCTACCTAATACCTTTGAAACCCCCCAGGTGCCAGGACCACTGACCCCAGAAATGGAAGCACGGCAGGCTACACGGAAGAGGGAGCAGAAGGCAGCCCGGCGGCAGCGAGAGGAGCAGCAGCGGAAGCAGCAGGAACAGGAAGAGCGGGAACAAGAAGAGCAGCGCCGATTTGCTGCCCTCAGTGACCGAGAGAAGGTGAAGCTGCAGAGTTTGCCAGAGCAAGGCTTTCTTCCTTTAACACCAGCAATGTTTTATGAAAAGTAGAAAAAGAAACAGGCTCTGCAAAGAGAGTCTGAGCCACCCTTCAAGAGAGAACACAGTATCCAAGGCTTCTTTAGCAGTCTTGTCCCTTCCCAGAGGCTACCTGTCACTTCCTGGGTAAACTCTGTCAGGGGGGCCTCGGACCTAACACAGCTTCTCTGTTTCTCAGAGAGCCCTGGCTGCAGAGCGCCGCCTTGCTGCCCAGTCAGGGGTCCCTGCCCCTCCAGTCCTGGACTGTGAGATCACCAATACTCGGTATGGGGCCAGGGACCGAGTGAAGGTGGGGACTCTAGTGTTGTGGGGACCTGGTGTTCAGCTGAAGTGCTGAGGGGATTTGAAGTACCCGGTAACCTCAGAGGGCTGGGGGCAGCTTGGATTGGAAAGTTTCTGGGACACCTATCCAGCTATGTTTCTTCCTCTTCAGACGCTGCTGCAATTGTGGGGCATCGCTCCAAGGCCTCGTTCCCTTTCACTACCTCGACTTCTCTTTCTGCTCCACACGTTGCCTCCGGGATCATCGCTCTCGGGCAGGGAAGCCTGCTTCCTGATCTTCCACCTGGGGCCAGCCCTAGGCCTTGAGAGGACACATTTACACCAGCCCCAAGTTCCTCTTCCCCATGATGCCAGACAGTATTTGGAAGAGCAGGGTAAGAAACTTGCAGGAACCAGGGCAGAGACAGGGCCACAGAGGCATGTGGAACTGGTACTGTCTCTGGATCTTTAATCACAATAAAGTTTGGCAAGGGAATTGCATTTGTACTTACATTCAGAGGTATTCTGGCCTTCCGGTCACCATGGCCAGGACCAAAGGGTCCTGCCCACTCTGTGTCCCAGGTCCTAGGGTCATCTTTTTTCAATGCCCACTTAACTGCATTTGTTCATTGGCACTTTGTGTGTCTGAGAGAATATCAGTGTATGTCGTGTGCAAGGTGCTATTGAGGATAGGCTTGTCCAAAAACTGGACTTGGCGATGATGAGGTACTTTCTCTAGTTCCAGCAATGTGATTTTGTTGATGGCTCCATCAGGAAACAGCAGGGGTCTTGGCACATAAAGGGTCTGTTGTGGTCCCCGAGTTGTCCAGTACCGGCCCAGGTTAAACCCATTGATCCACACTTGACCCTATGGGACAGAGAACAGGGAAATGAAGGGGTCAGCTTTCCAAGGGGTAGAATGACCCCATTTTGTTTTTCTGATATGTCCCCTTTCTCTACATGATTCTTCTTTTATCACCCCCATCCTGCCAACCACAACCAGTAGCAATACCTTGGTCCATCCAGGTAGATAGAGAAATGTATCCCCAACTAAGCCTAAAATTGGAAAATTTGCAGAGTAGAACGTAGGACCAGAGGGAGCTGGAGGCACTCCTCTTTTCTTCCACTGGAGGGGAAACCACCACTTTACAAGATTATCGATTTTCAGCGGGAACATCATCCACTGGGTAAGGACTGTTTGCCCCAGCATTGGTGGCTCTAACAGACCCTGGGGGAAAGCAAATGAGAGGTCATCATTCACTCTGCTTAAAGGCCATACCCACCTAATCATAAGCCCTGAGAGGTAAGTGGTAGTCATAGACACACAAGTCATTACTTCCCTCTTTTAACTCCTCAGGGCACAGCTATCATGGAGCTTCCTTTAGGGCCCTATCTTTTTAAGGAAGATAGTCACAGAGAGTAATAGGAAAGAGCGTAGGCGGAGGCAGCTTACCTTGAAGTCACTGTGGTTAGACCCAAAACTCAGCCTCCCCATGTTCTCCAGCAAGATATCCAGTTGGGTTCCTATTTTTCCCATCAAAAGCAGTTTGTGCTTCATACTTCGTTCCAGAACACCCTGGAACACCTGTGGATAGGAGAAGGCTCTGTGAAAGGAAGGGCTTAGCATCTGCCTCTTGGCCACTGTATGGGAAGCCACCTTAGAATAATTAGTTGAGGGCAAGAAGAACACATCCGTCTTTCACTCACCCACCCATTTTGGAACTCTTAGACTCATCCTCAGTCCAGTTTATAACCCAGGACCCTCTAGAGATGTGAACAGCCAAGCAGGAAAGGGTAGAGACGGACGACATAAGGCTACATGGTGTTGGGGAAAGGAGGAAGGCGGCCTGGAATTGGGTTCTCACCCCATCCACCATCACATAGGCACGGTCATGGACTCCATTATTTGGCACCCAGAATGGTGTTGGTTCAAAAACCGTGTAAGGCAGATAGGTGCGGTATAGCACAAAGCCACGGTCCTGATACAGAAGGGGGGAAAGAAAAACTGAAGAAGATTGATAGCTAGAAGGAACTTTTGGTTACAATATTGCATCTGTTCTGGGAATCTGCCTTCCCTATTGGATAGGCTTCTGCCTCACCTGTTTAACAGCTTCAAAGGTCATTGGCAAGACTGAACTGATAGGTCCCTGGGGGCAGAGAACATCTAGGAAATTCAGCAATCCTCCTTCCTATTAGAATAAGTGGCAAGAATCAGAATAAGAGATTTCTCGACCGAAGACAAGGTAGGATAGGCTATTACAGAAACCTACCGGATACAGGGTGAAAGGTCCAAGTGCCATCTTGCGACTGGGGAGAGGTAAAGGTCCCAAGGGAATTTCCTGGAACTGAACCCAAATGGTCTCAACAGCCATAGGAAAATAACAGGAACAACCCCTATTTCAATGCCCTACAGCAAGGTTTTTTGGTGGTAGTAGTGATGGAACACAATAAGCTACATCCCCAGCCATTGATTGGTTGATTGTAGTACTGGTGATTAATCCCAGGGCTTCCACACTGAGCTACACACTCAGCCTCTCCCACCTTTATTTTATTTTTTAATTTTTGAGTGTTGCTAAGAAACTAGATTGCCTAGTTGGCTTGAACTTACAGTCTTACCTCAGTTCTCATAGTGCTGGGATTACAGGTATATGCCACGATGCCCGGCTTTATTTTTTATTTTGAGACAAGGTCTTGCTAAGTTACTAGGCAGGTCTCAAACTTGAGATCCTTCTGCTTCAGCCTCCCAGAGTGCTGGGGTTATAGATATATTTTACTATGCCTGGCTTACAGCAAATTTCTTGTCCTGGGGCTTATGGGAGGGTTTCAGAGACCATAAAGGCTCTCTAATTTTGCACAGACAAATATAGCTCCCCACATAGTCCCATTTGAGTGAACAAGAAATGCTCCTACAGGATGCTCAAAAGGCTCTGGCCCAGAGAGCCACCACCAATTTATGGGATCCCTTTATGACCTGGGCATGCCCTTCTCTAAAATTAATAAAAGGGGGCACCTTGCTGATGACATTTCGAAGAGCCAAAAGCTTAGGCATGGCATCTCCTGCTTCAGATATGGGTGCATCATAGTCATAGCTGGTAGTAATTGGAAGGAAGCGTCCCTTCTCATCAGCACCTGGGGTAGAACAGATGTCATTAATTCACAAGGTGTTCTAGGCAAAGAACTTCATGCAGAGAGTTATGCCACGCGAGGGCACTGCTGCCCGTAGTCAGCTTCTAGACATGCTAATGCACCCACCCCTTAGACCTAATTCCATTATTGCACTGCTCTGCCCAGGGGCCACCTGTGCTCACCATTCCAGTATCCAAAGTTGGTGCCTCCGTGGAACATATACCTGGAGTGGGGAGGGCGGGGGGAAGGTAAAAGCTGATCAAGGGAATCTGAACATTCGTCCCTACTCCAAGGAATGGATACGTATTGTCTCCAGTTACATGTTTACACTGGCTCCCAACTGAAGCATTTCCTCAAGTCCTTTGGTCACTGCTGAGGTCGACCGAGTGGAGTGATTGTGGCCCCAGTAATCCAGCCAGCCTGTGTAGTACTCGGAGTTCACCTAGTGTGAAATGGAAGGAGCCGTGAGTGAGGTAGGGACTGGGCAGAAGCCTGACTCTTGCTTTGATTCCTTTCCCCTCTGGCCTCTCACCAGTGGCCCACGAGGTTCATACTTCCGAAGCATGCTAAAGACTCTGGTCATGTTGTCAGCTGCAGAGAGGAGGCAGGGATAGAAAATGAGTATCACAGAAAAGCTCCCCCTTCCCGAGGCGCCACTCCTAGCCTGTATTTAGGAGACCTGGCCCGAAGTCCACAGTGGTATAGAGTCCAGGGAGGGAACCACACTTAAGTCCTTCGGGCCCATCTGTGGTGAAAAGCAAGATCTCATCTCCTAGTAGCGCACGGAAGAGTCCAGCCAGGTGTCGCATGTAGCCGTAGTCGCAGGCCTTGTAACTACCGTATTCATTCTCCACCTGCCAGAACAAAGGGAATGCAAGGCCCAGCTACGAGGTGAAGGCTAAGGGCCCCTGGCACCTCCTTCCCTTGCCCGGCCACCTCCCCGATGTACCTGAATGCTAATGATGTTGCCCCCATTGTGGTAGAGAAATGGATAGATCTTGGGCAGCAAGACATTGAACCAGGAGTCCACTGCTTCCAGGAAGTCTAAGGAAGGAGCAGCACTCTCCTCATCAGGGGTCTCCACCACCTCTGCAGCCCCTTCCCTGGCATCCTTGCTACGGCAGCAACTGCAGCTTGCATCCCACTTGCCCACAACTAACTCTGGGAAGCACTGACCCTTAGAAGAAACCTGCGACCCTGAACACTTAGAAATTTGCTTCTCAATGGAATTTCAATGTAGGACCTTAATGTTTCTTAAAAGTACAAGAGCTGGATGTCGTGGCTCATGCCTGTAATCCCAAATATTCAAGAGGCTGAGGCAGGAGAACTGCAAGTTCAAGGCCAACCTGGGCCATTTTATGAGACTGTTTCACAATAAAAAGGACTGGGGATCTAGTTCAATGCTTCCTGGATTCATTCTCCAGCACTGCCTCCCCAAGCCCCATGTAATAAAAAGGCTAAGCACATGATTGAGTTATTACAGTAATCAGTGTTTACCTGTGATATACCATGGGGGAACTCCCAGGTAGAGTCTGACATGCACTCTCAAGGAACTAACATTCCAGTGGTTTAAGTCAGCAACTCAGATATCATGCCTTAAACCTTCGACTCCTGCTTGTGATTTCTGTAGTTCACCCTCAAGGTCTTCATGGGTATGGTTTCCTCTGACCTTTTTCTTCCTATCTGCCTACACTTAGCCAGTTCCGACTCATGTGTCAGTTCTTACCTCGCATTTCATTTCTCTGAGAAAATCACTGACATCCTAGACTAAGAGAGCTCCTGCTGTGTTCCATACTCTCACTGTACTTCACACTTCTCTATTAGGTACTTAAATTATAATCAAGCATCTGTGCCTATGGAAAGGTTTCTTGCTAATGTCTTCAACTGGGGAGCAGGAAGCTTCTCTGTCATTAAGCATGAAACAACCTAGCAGACCATGGACTCTCAGAGGGGAGTCAATTGAAGATGCTTTTCAATTCTTCAACTATTTTCTGAACTTCTATTTATTTTATTTTATTTTATTTTTTGAGACTGGGTCTCACTATGCAGTTCAGGCTGGCCTTGAGCTCATTTTGTAGCCCAGGCTGGTCTCAAACTTGCAACCTATTCTGCCTATTTTTTTGAATTTTTGTTTTATTTTTTTGAGACAGGGTCTCACTATGTAGTTCAGGCTGGCCTTGAACATACTATGTAGCCCTGGCTGGCCTCTTAGACTCCTGCATGCTGGCACTACAGGTGTGCACCCCCATGCCTGGCTTGTACTGCCTCTTTTAAGCCAAACATACATTTTGTAAATTGTTATTTTTATTAGTACGTTTGCAGTACACCATGATTACATTCATACTGGGGAGTATCTTAATCTTTTTTATA